GGAAGGCACTGTTTCCTGTTTAAAGTTCAATTAAACTTTAAAATGCCATTTTAAATGCTTTGAAATGCCCCTGGCGTGGAGTCCTGCCTATAGGAGTAGCAGCAGTCCACGGCAGGTGGATAAGAGAGGGAGGACAGGAGGAATGGCGGCCAACTCTGCCAGAAGCTGAGGGAAGCACAACCCTTCTTCTTCCTCATCTGCCGCTTGAGGCACTTTGCTATGGCTGATGCTAAGATGAACCCTGGACTGGTCATTGTTGAAAACAAATGTTAGCCTTGACCAGGAGTGTCCATACAGCATGGTTGAAAAAAATCAAGATGACAACTATGACAGTGCAATAGAAGTTCCACCCATTTTTTATGTGTGACATTGTCAGCCCTCTGAGTTAGACCAAATTAAGAAAGCAAAATCACACAAGCTAATACTACTTTTTATTATAAGGTTATAGTAACAGAATCTTGCCATTCTCAATGTGCTTCCCCCCTCCCTCCTTTTATCTTCGTGAGATCTAGGGAGGACCTTGCTTGAAACACTCAGGTTACAGATCTGGCCTGGACTCAAATTTCCTTTATCTGACCGTTGTCAGGTGACCACAGAATGCTGTGACAGCTGCAATTTCGAGGACTAGTTGTAAGTCCCCCTCGCTCAATGCCATCATAACTTTGAACGGTCACTGAACAAGGAGGACTTACAACTAGTCCTCGAACTACTGTAGTATCTTCCCAGAATTGGGCATGACTACCATGCATGTCAGGAACTGCTGGAGTTTGAACTGGGAGCCTTCTAGTCCCTGTACAACAATTCAGCAGCAGGTTGAAGCCTCTTCCAAGGCAATTTAAATAGTGTATCTCCTACAGAATTGTCCAGGCACAGCAGTGTTTCTGGCTGGCTCGGGAATTCTGGGAGTTGAAGTTCACACATCTTAAAATTGCTGAGGTTGAGAAACACTGAGGTAGACTGAAAGCATAAAAATCAGGGGACATTGTAAAGGCTTTCTTTGGCAGATCAGTGATTATGTTGCTCCCAGCTGAGAGCCAGGTCAGTGATTACCAGATACCCTTCTCTAACCATTATTCAGAAAGGGTCAGAATTGCTTTTGCTAAACGTTAGCAGGATGCTTTAAAATTACAGGTGCCCCTCTTCAGAAGACATCAGTAGAGATGGAAATAGAGGGGAAACGTTTGTTGCATGCCTGCAGAGATCTGCGGGTCAGCAGCAGGAAGGCAGCCTGGTGCCTGTACCACAAGGTGTGCATGTCTGAGATGGAAGGAAGCTAGTTGGGTAGTTCATATTGCTCCCAATTGAAAGCTTGGTCCATAACATTGCAGCATCTGCTTTGCAATATGGATCAGTGCATTATGGTCTGCCTGGCCAAAGACTGACCAGGCTGCAGCTTTTCCCATACTGAGTACTCCACTGATGAGTGAGGGCAACACAGAGAGCTATTTGGTAATGGTATCCCATTCAGGTGGCCCTAACACAAGAAGCTGAGTGGTGTAGATGTGCTCCCTAATGAAAGGTCTCAGATTTAGCTTCACACAGCGTAGCTAACCAGAAGGACGATCATCTGTTGGCTTGAAAGGAATTCTCCACCCCCACCCCACTTCTCCTCTTCCATAGCAAGATTGGCATACTTGCAACATGTGGCTTAATTCAGTGCCTGAGTGACCTGAAACTCGCCACTTGATATAACACAACATATTTGGGGAATAATGATGTGAATGATGTACAACTGAATCAATTGTAGGATTCTGATTTGGAAAATGAGGCATGATTAAGCCGGGCTTGTAATTTGATTCATTTCTGAGTCCAAAACTGCTCCTAGGTTTTGAATTTAAAATTGATGAGAGAAAATCTTGATAAATTTTAAAAGAATAATAATACAGGATGATACTTCCTCACGACTTCTCTTATCAATAAGTGAGCCTCCTCCTCTTCCATTTAGGCTAATCCATTTAGGCTTGTGCAAAGAGCTGTTCCCTGCAGCAGATGTATGTCCAGATGTTTAATAAAATAACCAGACATAAATTTTCTGGTCCATTTAATGTTCAGAGGGTTTTCTTATTTACCTTTGAAATTATAAAATGGCAGCTTGGCTTTGTCTTTATTTTGACATACAAGATGTCAAAAGATGCCCTCCCATAGCAGCATGGGGCTCTTCTCCAAGGCTAACTTTCCCTTGTAGCTCTGTCCTAATCAGATGGGATTGAGCCAGCCTAACAATTGTGCCATCTGACAAGCTGTGGTTGGCTCTCGCAAGACAATCACAGTAACATGACAGCAGGAACCAAACAATAAATGCATACCAACAGTTCAGAGGAGCAGTTAGGACAAGATTCTGAAGACACGGGTATGAGGAAAAGGTAGGGGAAGTCTCTATAAACAGTTTTAACTTTGATTTGTTTTCTTATGGCTTCGTATGTTATGCAAATGTGGCTTATTCATTTATGAGTTAATATACTGCACAAACCTATGTTGTTGTGCTTTGCATAGCATTGCTTACCCCAAAAGGAAATAGTGTGATGCGTATGTATGTATAAACCCCACAAATCCATTCCTAGGAAGATCTGTGGCAGAATAATTTTGCATCCCTTTGACCTTCAATAAAGTTCATGCTTTCCAGGAAGGGTTCATTATTTGGTGAAACTCAAACTTTCCAAACAGCAGATTCAAGTACACACTTCAACAAATAATAGGTGAGCCTCCTTTTACGACAGCAACAATACTGGGCTAAACGGGCCAGTGAAATAACTCAGGACAAGATTGCTTCTGACATTCACAAAATCTCCACGTTAGTACATTTTTCCCCATTAGTCTATTAAGACAAGGAGAAGGTGGTAGCAGCAGACGGGCCTTCTGCTAGCAGTCCTTCTATCTAGCAGTGCCAGATGTGGTCCCTCACACACACACCCTGAACTTCAAATTAAAGAATAAATCTTTCTTCCAGGACAGATACACTTAAGAAATAACAGAAAGGCTTAATTTCAGAAGCAAAACTTTCATCCAGGGCCGATTTAAATTAAAAGTTAACTTAAGGAGCAAGGCTTAATGGAAGAAAAAGCTCGAGTTAAGGAGTGAGGCTTTTGTCCAGAGCAGATAAATGCTTGCATTTCAACAGTGAAACAACTGCCACAGCCTTTTAGGACAACTTTGTGAGATTTTGTTTGGAACACAACATTTAAAGTTCACAGCAGATGGAGAGAGCCCCCTGCAGCCATGAAGAGGCTTGCTAGCTCAACATATCTGATGCCACCTTTTCCATTTTGAACTTTATGGGTGGATGTCAATATTGTTCCCTTGTGTCAGCCTGGATTTTTTTTAACCTAAATTCTCTGTTTCATTTCTACTGAAGTCAGCAGATTTTGGTAAGCTATTGTTTTGAAAAATGTGTAGGAGACTCTCACCTGTCCACTGCTGCTGCTGCTGAACTGAATTAAAATATAGGCCTGTTGCCAGCATGGGGAGGATCATGTTGTACCTGCCTGTCATGGAGCTTCTAAAATGAGAAACCTTAAGAGAAAGAGAGAGAGAGAAAGAAAACAAGGGGGAATTTCCATAGAGCAGCACAACATGCTTGCAATACCATAATTCAAGCCCAAATTTTGATAAGCAAAATATTCCACACCTTCTGCCTAGATAGGTATGTTTATTTTTCTCCCACATTTGATTTAAAAAAGCAACCATTCAAATGTTGGCCCATTGATGAAGCAATTTGCAAATGTTCATTAAGTTCTTCTTAAATACAATTCTAATCCAGCTCTAAATCCTAATAATTATGGGCCGCAGCTGTATTGGGGTGCGAACAGGACCTTGGACCCCACTCAAGCTATCTTTCCCAGTCCTCTCTATCTGCCCCCCCCCACCCCCAAGCACAGGACCAGCAGACTTGGCCCACATTAGTGGTCAGGCAGGGAGAATCAATCTATCATCAACAAACATGGGACAGAGCTGGCCTGGGATTATGTCTTTGGGCTGTTGCCGTGGAACTGATAGCCACTTGGCCGGCCAGAGGGGGAAACAAGTGTGGGGCGCTGGACCGTGCTGCCATGGACGCAATCTGTCTACAATGTTGTTCCTGTGACTGGAAGAGATATTTATAGCCAGCCCTCCTTTTTGTACAAAAGGAAATGGTTAGAATACTTACATACCTGCACAGAGGAGCCAAACAGGGCCAAGAACCAGACATATACAGATGGAGCCTGGGCCAAGAATGCTCCAAGTCTCTCCAGGGCTTGGGAATGATGTTAGGGCGATGTGCCACCAACTCTGGATCCCAGCTGATTGTGCAACCTCTTTTAGACCTTAAGCACCCCGTCACTGCAATGCCCTGGTCATTCTCCCCCAGCAGATACGTTTCCTGCTTTCTGTCCTTGTGCAGCCTGTATGCAATGCTCCAAGAATAAAGCCCAATCCAAGAATTATTCAAAAAAGGAACATCCGGCTTATATTGTTCAGTTGGGCGATTGTTTTCTGCTGCAGGAGAGGCTGTGCATTGTGGAATTTGAGAATCCCAAAGCGTTAGAAACATGTTGGGTGGGAAACGGTATCAGGCAGGTATTAATGAAGTACCGTATGCTACAGTATGAAGATATCCTAGGATAAGGACTTCAATAAAGAGCCCAATAATATAGTATACACTTTCCATGCAGAAATTGCCTCTAGATATCTAGTTTAAGCAATACTGGGTAATAGGGCTAGGTTTACATGTGTTTGTATTACATATCAGGGTCAGAAACATCACTCTTAGAGCTATTTCCAGTATCTTCTCACTGATCCACCATGCACTGTGATTTCAAGGAGGGAAGCCCAGAGCACTAATTTGTACAGAGGCAAATGGACAATCTCCAGTGATAATGCTGTATCATATCTTATCAGGGACATAATGATTTTTTCTTAGTCAACACAGAGATTCTTCTCCTACCCACAACCACCAAAGAAAAGATGGAAAAGAAGAAGCAAGAGTTCAAAATGGTAAAATTTATATTTTATTTATACAGGGGACATCCTCCTCTAGGAATGGGATTTTTGTTCTAACAGCTGCCTGTATCCAGGTTTTGCAGAATTCATAAGTGTTCTTCACACAGTATAGGACTGGAAGGCTAGATGGTCCAGCACTTGGCCCATGCAACTGCAAAATTGTAAAAGAAGATAAAGATATAGTTTATTTGACTGGATTGGAGTTGCAAATCTATTCAGATTAGGAGCTCAGAGAAGTGCAGCAGAGCACAACCGTCTGCCAGGCAGATCAGCAACAGATAGACAGCATTTGCCGTCTCCTTCGCTCCATGCCACGCCATCCCTTATGTTGTGTTGAGCTTCGGATGTGTCATCTCACGGCATCATAAGCCTCTGCTCATCACTTTGTTGGTAAATCTTTCCTGAGGGCTGTTGGACCTCACTCAGTCAATGGAAAGAGGAAGAACCGCTCCAAAGAGCCAACAGTTTTGAAGAAATAATGATTTTATGGTGAATAATTAACACTGTGGTTGTTTTCTTGACACATCAAGACTTTGGCTGAGATTTAGAGGGCTGGAATTCTTTCCTGGTCCCGGACAGAACTGACCGTGCGGGAGGCTTTTTTCACGCGGAGTAGTCACCCAGTCCGTGGGAGCGCAGCACAAGGACTTTCTGGGAGAAGGACAACGGACTAGCCCCATAATACCCTGCCCTGAAGCTCCACTCAGCACCATGAGTCCCTGGAGAGGCCTGGATAGCTGCCCACTTTCCCAGCTCATAAATCTAGACATTTCTGCCCCTGCCTCCAGCCAGCTCAGCTGTCACTAAGGCATTCACACTGGCCCTGCAAACCCATGGCTCTCGACCAGGTAGCAAGCAAACCAGCAGTAAATCAGCCCAAAGTAGAGCAGTTCTGGCAGTTCATCGGATGAAAAGCCTTGCATTCTCAGGCAATCCAAGCTGAATCAAGCACTAGACGCTCCAGGGGTGCATTCCTAGTTACGGCTTCCTCCCAACCCCATTGCTGTAGCAGACAGTGTCCTCTAAAGTCCCATAGTGACATCAGTTGTGTCTCTTTTCATCCACTGGCAGGCTGCATGAGCAATTGGGATGGGGATTTTTGGATGACTTCTGTGCTATTGTATGCAGGCTTGGTTTAAGCTGCAGTGTGGAGCATGCTTATCTGGGAGTAAGCCCCATTAAATGCAATGGAAGCAGGCATTGATGTGCTAGCACTGACAAACAGGGCTGTGCGAGTGTTTGCCAACGAATATGCAAGATGAAAAGTGTGCTGTTGGAGACACAAAATGTTCCCTGAAAATCTGCTTTCCTTCGATTTGTTTGCTACCCAGTTCATAGCAATTACCTTACCTAACTGTAACCTCACTGCCATTTCCTTCCACTCATTCTCCTTCCTTGAGATCCTAGCATTTAGGGATCCTGCAACATACATGTTTATATATAAGAGAAGTCACTGCTTCCTGATCTTCATGTATTGGTGAATCCTGATCAATCAAGAATGCCTTTTCTAAGCAGACAAGAAAAAAAGGGAGATTGATAACTAACCACTGAATTTAAACTAAGGTACTTTTTGTAGCAAGTAACCGTTTTCATATCAGAATCAGGACAAGCTAGCTGGTTCTGACAAGCTAGTTAGTGAGTGAGTGGCTAGTTTACATCTGGGACTTGGATGGCATTCTTGGACCTGGAGGAGAGATGGTAGGGTTCAGGCAGATTGGTTTGATGGGGAAGGCAGGGAAGGGCCAGGTGGTAACATCTTGGTGGTGATGGGCAAAGGGAGATATGGGTGGACTGCTTTTGGGAAAGTCATACCCAGTGTCTTGTATCAATTCCACCTTTCAGCTCCCAATTCCAAAGCCTGGCCATCAGATCCTCAATGGCCTTGCTTTCAGGCTGTTGCTGCTTAGGGCCAGGTCAGCCTGATCTGAGGAGTTCCTTAGCATGGATAAGAGGGCCAAGCTGGCATGTATTACTTAGATCTGGATGGGCACCGAGGTGGGGTACTTATCAGTCCCACTAAGTAAACCAGACCAGGAAACCAGCTCCATGTGAAGGGTAAGCTACTTTTATTGAGATTAGCTATAAAAGAATCTTGCAAACCTGATTGTCCTGTACCTCCTCCTTATACCTAAATGAAAGGGAGGCATCTGTGTGAACCACTTTTGAATATTATCTTGTTGTTCTGGACTTTAAAAATGTTTCAGCGCCTTTTGCCTAGGTAGCAATTCCTGCATAGTTACATCAAGGTCATTTTCCTTACTTTCTACAGTACCCCTCTCAGAAACGTTCTCACCTAGGTTTTGAATGTGGCGTTCGCTGTGATTAACCCAGGACAGGGCTTGGAAGAGTAGCTATTGGCATCATTTTTTAATTTTATTTTTTATTTATTTATCAAATTTGTCACTGCCCATCTTGTTGAAATGACTCTGGGGGGGTTACAGCAGAGATAAAATTCATTAAAATGCAACATAAAAACCATCCTAAAAATAAATCATGGAGACCCGTGTGGCTTTCAGAGGTGCCACTCTGCAAATAAGATGTGAGACCCTGTTTGTGAAGTAGGGCCTGGGGAGGAAATTTGAATGCTGCAGCTATACTAGTTTCCCTTCTGCACAGCAGCTTCTCTGCCTGAGCTGCTCAATGCTATGGTTTGGTTGGCAGTGGAGTTTCCCAGACTTATGGTACTTGGAGACTTCGACCTGCCTTCCCTAGGCACAGAACTGAAATCTGAAGCAGCTTGGGAATTCATATCCACCATGGCAACCATGGACCTAATCTGTCATCAAGGCCCTGACAATAGTGGAGGTTACACATTAGTAACCTGGTGTGGTTTTTTGTCTCAAGGCAGTGGCAATGTGATCTGGAGCTGGGGATTGTTACGATCTGTCCTTTGACATGGGCAAATCGCTCTTTGCTTTGAGATTCTTCATACCTGCTCCCCACCATAGGGAGGTAGGACCCATTCAGATAGTCCTCCCCAGGTGTCTGGTGGACCCCACTGGATTTCATAAGGTGCTTGGGAAATTTCTGGAGGATCTGATATATTCAGTAGATTCTGAGGAAGTGGACAGAATCTTTGGAGCTGTGAGTGCTTCCATCTGTTATTTAGATCCATATCCCTCCTGGTTGGTTAACGCCGCCTGGGATGTGATGTGTGGTTGGGTCTAAGCAATGGTGAATTTATCCTTGAGAGAGGGGGTGTTTTACCTGCACTTAAGGAGGCAGTGGCCTGCCTCCTCCTTTTCAAGAAGCTATTACTGGACCCAGTGGTGTTGGACAATTTCTGACCACCTCCAATATTCCTTTCTAGGGAAATTTGTTTTCCCAGGCTTCAGTTTCAGAGAACCATGGAGGGAAAGGATTATTTGGATCCCTTCCAGTCAGATTTCAGGCTTGGGCATGCGGTACTGAGATAGCATTGATCGTGCTTGTTGATTACCTATTTGTGGGACCAGGATAGGAGTAATGCATTCATCTTGGCAGTCTTCAATATCATTGGTATCCTTCTGGACCAGCTCAGGAGGTTGGAGGCACAGTGTCATGCTGGTTTTTCTCCTTCTGCCAGAGCCAGTTCCAGTGGTGAGAGGTGTCAGAATCTGCTTTGGATTTCAAGAGATTTGTCTGTATTGGGGCTTGAACATCGTAGACCTGACAAGAGGTCTAGCCCTCAGCCCTTGCTTCAGGGCTCAATTCTCTCCCCACTCCTGTTTAAAATCTACATGAGGCCGCTGGGTGAAGTCATCCATCAGCCTGGGTTTAGATATTATCAATAAGCTGATAATACCTAGTTATATACTGTATCTCAACCTTTGACTGGCCAGCTAAGCAACTTTGTTGAGGTTATGTCTCAGTGCCTATCGTTTGTGGGGCTCTGGACAGGGAAAAACAGGCTCAGGCTCAACCTTAGCAAGACTGAGTATAGTTTGTAGGGCTACCTGGATCTGGAGATTTTTCATACTGCTCCAGACAGACCTGATATGCAATTTGGGGGTCCTCCTAGACTCCACCTGAAGAGCAAGTGGCAACTATAGCTCAGGGGATTTTGCACAAATCCCTCTTGTTTGCCAATTGTACCAATTTCTGGATTAGGGGTCCCTAATCACAGTCACTCATGCGTTGATTATTGCATGAGGCTACCCTTGAAGACCACTCAGAAGTCATAGCTGGTCCAGAATGCAATGACACAAGTAATTATGGTACACCCATGTAACATTGATATTTTGTGAGCTGCACCGATTTGCTAATGGGTTCTGGGTGTGATCCAAGGTTCTGGAACCACCTAACTCTGATTATGTCTGCCTATCCAATAAGATCTGAGAGGGTTCCTATGATCCTGGTCCCGTAATTCAGCCAATGTCATGCCTTCTCTGTCACTATTGGAACTGCACTCCCCACAAGAGTCAGATGGTCCCAGCCCTTTCTCCCAAGCACTGGGTCATTAGGTTTGAAGATGATTTCTAGTTCTTCAGAAAGTCTTTGGTACCGCACGTGTGTGTGTGTACTGTACACACAAACACACACACAGAGAGATGGTAATATTTGCTTGATTTTAATTGTGTACACCATCCTAAGTCACATGTGGAGGGGGACATATAAATTGAATTAATAAATAATTGTGAACTATATATATTGGGAACGCAAATTAGCCTACTCTATGCACATGACATAACATAGGAGAAGTCAGTCATATGGCATGCATGCCTGTCCTGAACTCACATTTTGTATCAAAATCATAAAAGTTCTTCCTGGGTCATCCAATATCTCCCTGCTTACATTCAAGTGTCAGGTCCCATAGTGAGGTAAGTAGCTGGAAGTGCAGAGGTGAGCAGAAGCAGCAGCTAGAGTACTAATACAGCTGGGAATCACCACTGCATATTCTGGGGAAATAAAATCATATCAAGCTGATAGTCTATCCTTTTAATGTAGGTGAGGGGGTTGGTGTAGATGGAGCTGAGGAGATGGGATTTCTGGGTGGGACGGACATTAAGCTGGACAAGACCTGGAGCTGGACAAGAGCAAAGGCATAGATGCTTACAGCATGGCATAGTCAAGGAAGCAGGAATTACACAGACTTGAATAAGGTTTTCCTAATGCAATAACAGGGGTAAAATAGAGAATCTTGGAAATTGTGATAGGTAGGAGATCTGCAAG